GGGCTGGGATTCTACACATGTAGTCTAGTGCCTTTAGACCGAAGGTCCTGTATTAAAACTTGCGGGCTAGTTGTTAGGCCTGACGGGCTGTTAGGAAAGACCACCGGTCTGCTTGTATTTATTATTAATTATATCTTAAGTTATGAACACTGCAGAACAATAATTTTCATATCACTGTGCTCATTACACCAAGAGCTACACACTGATGTGAAACTTGAATGTTGAAAATCAATTTTTACTTGAGTTTCCAAATGCCTTGTGACTTTCCAAAATTGATGCGACCAGTGTTAGGTAAACAATATTCAAATGTCCCTACACTTCCAGAACAAGCTGAGAAGTCCCAATCCTACACCACTTCTACCTCACATCAAAAGCTACCGGCCAACAGTGTGCAACCCAATCCAGACCATATACATGCATGCCATGTCCAGAATATAAAGCTCTATTACACTGCCACAGGTAGCCCAAAACTGACCCTGACCTTTGCCACAATCTATCGAGGTTTATAAGTTACAAATGTATGCTGACAGATATCTGAAAACATTCAACACTCATACATACAAACATACACACTCTCACAAACATGCTCTCACAAACATACATTGTACACACTCTCACAAGCATACACTCTTACAAACATATATTGTACACAGTTAAGTTTAAAATACACTGACTCAAACATACACACGCTCACAAACATACATTGTACACATGGCACTCTCACAAACATACACACTTACAAACATATATTGTACACATATATTGTACAGTACACATGCACATGAGTCAGTACCCAATGTTTTGGAAAAATTGGAAAAAATTAAAATCAATGAAATAAGTTTACCGCTATCTTTATTTCCCTCTAATCTACCTACATACCAAAAACGATTAAAATGTAGTTCCATTCTGGACTTATTTGCTTTACAAGATTTTGCTAGAAACACCCCTGCAGTTCCAGAACAAGCTGCTAGGGGGACAAAACCCACTTTACTTGACTTTTTGGTGATAGTTTTTCCTGTCAAGATCATGTTAAGCACAAACAAAAGATACAAATTAAAATGAGTTCTGCTGCAGTACCAAGGTCAGACACAAGGAGGCCCATATTTAACCTTGATCTTACTAGTACAAGCTACCAACATACCAATATCATCACAATCCATAAAGGCGTTCTGAAGTTATGATGACTACAAATGGGCGTAAATACACAGACACATACAAAATACTTCCATTTTTAATGGAGGTAACAAAGAACACATACATTGTACATGTAGGTGTAATGATTGTGAATTTACTGCATTGCACAGAGTCAAATCAAGAGGCGACAAGAGAAAGATTATACATTGCATGTTGACATACATTGTACATGTAATATCCTTAATACATGTTTCTATTAGTATATAGTAATAAAAGGTTATCATGTGAACATGAACATTTTTTTGCTACGTAGTACCCATGCCAGGACAGTAACTTTCTTTAAATTTCTTTCATCAGTTCTTAAACAACATTTTACATGTATGTCAGGGGAACTGGACAGGTTTATTAAGTTAACTGTTATAGTGTTCTATGACGGACACCGTACTTGTAATGTACAACCTGTTAGAAAGAAGACATAGACCCCCTCAAAAACTGGTCCCAACTAACATCTTGTGTAATGTAACAGTGAAAACATATTTTGGTCAACATTCTTTACTATCCAACTTTTCCACAACTGTAAACAGGTCTGTTGAAAGAACAGTTGAGCAGGCTATGGGAGTACTTAACGTCCTGCATGATTATTGTTGGTTCTCTAGTAGTAGAGGGATAAATCTCTTTGAGTACTCTAGCAGACAATTGTCCTCAGCAGTTCTCTTTGGATTAGGTATTGTTCTCCCAAATTCTATCTCAGATCTCCTGCAGTCTCTTACAAGTCTCTTTTTTGACATCATACATTTCTTACATAATTTTCCATTGTTTGAAAAATCACCTGTGAAAACATGGCTGCCATGTTGTTTTTATGTCATTGTTAGGGTTAGACGCTAACCCCCATTTAATTATCTATTGTTCAAAACAATTGATGGTATCTGAGGGGGTCCAACCTTCGGTGTCAAGAAGGAATCTACAGCAGTTCTCTTTGGAGTCTCTTCTTGTGGGGACAGAGCTCTTCCAGCTCTCTTTTGGTCTTGTCCTTTGTGATGAGATCTCAATTGTCCACTACAGTACTCAAAGAGATTTATCCCTCTACTAGGGGATCGATCTGGCTTTGTTGACAAATAAACCAGTTGTGTTGACTTCAAATTGACGTTCTGGGGAAGTTGTGCTCACTTGACGTGGGAGTGTCCAGTAGATAAGAACACCATACAGTGGACAAGTAGACATAACTCTGAAGCTGGGAAAGGGAAGACACACAACTTGTCAGCTGTATACGAAAAAGGATACCTACGTGTAGTCTGGTTACCAAACATATTTTAGCTCTGACTTGAGTCTTGCATCCTCTATTTGCAAAGAGGATCATGTAGGACTTGGGAGCTAAAATAGGTTTGGTAACCAGGCTTATAAGATGAATATCAACAGAAAAAAAGCATTCATAGGAATGGAAATGTCACCAAAGTGCACAGGTCTTCTATGTTGTAAGTTAAAAGGATTAAAAGGAAACTTTGAGGTAAATCTAACTCAAATCTAACTACAATGTAACTACTGGGATATTGAAAAACAGTCTAACACAAATGAGATTCATTTTGTAGGAGACCACAAGATGACTAATGTAAGGGTGTAGTTGAAAGGTTGTATATTTTTAATATAAAATGTACTCTGCAAGACTTATATCCTAGAGATTGACATCAAACCATTTTATAAATGGCAGTTTTGTTACATTTTTCAACAAACTGGTACTACTACAAGTATAGGCTTCCATAACATGTAAAAACATTTTTCTGTATGTGCTAGTACATGTTGGCTTTAATAAACATTACAGGATCGATGAAGTTTCACTTTCCTGCTATGTTGGACAACATAGAAAAAAATTTACATTATATATTATTAAATTATAAGTAGCTGTTAACGAAAACTTATTGGGCTACAATGCCGCTACATGTATGCTGAAACAAGTTACTAATTATAGAATTTGATGTTCTTGTTAAGATGTTGGATTCATGGCCGTCATTACTCACCTTGTAGCTGTGTAGATATCTGGACCCACTGTGTCAACCACTCCATACACACCTGTCTGGACCACGTCATGCTGGCCACTCCCCGCAGATAGCACATCTACAGACACAACAGGTAACATCAGGGTCATCTTGGACGGAAAAAACAACACTACAAGCAGTCCTGTTTCTTCCAGGCCATATATACATGTATAATTTAATATGCACATCAGCAGAACACACTGCACCTGCAAGAAACTCTAATTTTTCACTATTTTCACATGTTTGGTCAATGTTGCATCAGAATTTTTCCTGTTGCAGATCCATGTAATATCTTTTCCAACAAAACATTTGGAAACTAAAGACAGGAACCTTCTCTCATGGCTGCTTGTAGGATGGCCGGCTATTTCAAGAACGCGACAAATTTAAAAACTAGACTTCAAAACGCTGTTATCAAAATTCCCACCCGCCCCAAAGCCTGCACAGGAGGCTACATGTAGGAGTCATCAGCTCTTTGAAGTACATTTGTACCAGGGGCATATAAACCCTTGAATTATGCTTTGCCCCCCCCCCCTATATAATGTTTAATCTCTCTTCCGCAACTCCGTACATCAACCTCCCCTATCTAGGAGACTTCCTTCTTTATCAGGTTTCTTGATGTAACGTACATTATGTAACTATCAACCCTGCTAACACAAGCCGCCGGCTCCTTTGATATTACAGCCCCGCCCTGTCCAATCTTTGAAAACTGTCGGGCATGCAAGTTTGTCAATCAAGTATGTGCGGCCGTGGGAAAAGGCCTCGCCCTAAAATGTATCACATAGTTCTGAATTAAGTTTAAGTCACAGTCACAAGTTTAAGTTTAAGTCACATGAGCTTCTACAACATATAGCGTCCGACAGTATCAAACTTCATTATACATGTATTTTCCCCCAGAGTCGAAGCTTAAGCTATTAAGTGGTTTCATCGGCGAAGTAGGTCGCAATTTCGTGCCTTGCAGAAAATTGTTGATACCGTGGCACGCAATTTTACAGACACCAACACTGTACCCTTTATAAAAAGTGTTCTCCAAATAGCTTAAATATTCATAACGTCATCTTATGACTTCTCTTTTGACGTGTTGTTACATGAGACAACATGACATATAGTAGACCTCTTTATAGACCCTTTTTGTTAAATTTTGGTTGTATTCCTCATATAATATGGGAAAACCAATTTGACTGATCTCCAAGCAGCCAATGAATACTATCCTTTGCCACCTTAGTATCGATCGCAAACCACATCGGGAGGTAGTTTTGAACCGGTTTCACCAGATCCGATTTGCATCTGAACACATTATATGATTCCAATGTAAGTTACATATTGACCCGGTCATGGATTACAGGGTAATATTTCCTTATTTACATGCAGTTATGAATCTACCTGGCAGCAACTACAAGAGCAGTAATGACCTAATAATGTGTCCATTCTAGGACGAGCTTCACCGCCTCTGGCGGGACCACGTCGGCATTTGGCCAAGATACGCTGGGAGAGAGGCACCAGCAAGCAGGTCACTGACCTCTGGCATTGATAACGCACTACCTTGCATATTTTCCTCATTGACAAAATTAAGCAAATCGTGATCAGGCATGATTTGAACAGAATGTGTGGCACATGGACAAGATGTGAGGAATACAAGTTAACCGAATCAGAGTTCAGGCGGTTTTGTGTTAACAAGGCTTAATTTAACAACAGCAAGAATACGACAGTCTATAGCCATGCATATAGCATGCTATGTTTTAATCTAATGACTAATTTACGTCATGGAATTCCCTCATAAGATCAGCTAACTGTAGTGTCGCGTGGGCATAAGGATTTCTCGTTTCATTCTGTTTCTGGGAAAAGTGGCTCACTTCCTGTCTGTGTATGTCAGATGAGGGTACAGTCTGACCTTTTCCTTGACCTTGTCATGCATCGTGCTTGACAAGTGAATTCCAGACAGGTACTCCTTTGTTCTGTGCAACTTGTGTGTTTCCTGTGTTTGTGATATACATATACATGAGTTCTTTGGTTGAGTCAGTATCAGTCGCCGTCCTGCCAGCAAGTCGAATGTTCATGATTTGGTGAGTTTTGTTCTTTTCATGTATTAAAGGCCACACTGACTTAATTTTATGACATCAGCGCACATTGATTTTTGCCTGTTCTCAATAAAAAAAAAAGATCATGTCCTCCGAGGCTCTGGCCTGGCTCTAGGCCTGGGTTGTCCATGGTATATAGTTAGCAACAATATTATACGGAGCCGGTGGTAACTCTGGAGGATGGCACCCAGGCTACCGAGGCTCCACGACTCAAGAACCCAGTACATACGTCTAGTGCCGATTCATAAATTCCACAGCATGTAGGATGTAGTGTGCAATCGTAAAAAAACAGCCTGCAATCTGGCCTTATACATGCTGTTAACGCTGGCCTGGAGGCTTGATTGTGCTAATATTAACTAAAGGGCCTGGGTGTTAACATTTTTACAACCTTTGTTTTGTTTGTAACTTGTCCCGAGCAGTGAGAATTAAAATTGAGTGGTCAAGGGTTGCTTTTAAATTCCACTTACTTTAACTGACGGGGTTGTGAGAAAAAGAAATATAGGAATACTATATTTTCTGAAAAGTATGGCGCGTTTCTCATTGTAACTACTGTGTGTACATTCTTGCATCCAGGTTAAGCCTAGTCACCTGCAGGATACCGTGGAAAAGAAGAAAAAATACGAAGAGGTGTACGTGCAAAGAAGATGGCGTGTTTGACGTTTTGTTACGTCTTCCTACTGGTCAACGTAATTCCATCTGTCCAGGCCGGCAGAGATGCAGGGTTTGGGGTTGGAAACGTCACAATACGTGAGGATGCATCTGTCGGCAGCACAGTCAAACACCTGCGAGACTTTCTTAACGTCGGCGGTGGCCTAATGGAAGAGGAAAATGGAACGTCGTGGTCAGTGAACATCACAAGTGGCAACGATCTTGGACGGTTTGAAGTTGTTGTTGAGAACTTGACGCTAATCGTCGCAGCGCCGCTGGACTATGAGTATAACCCGCGGTACAACCTGTCCCTGGAGCTGAAAAATACTGGAGACAACAGCGTTTGGCATGTAAACCTCGCCATCGTGATCACGGACGTGTGGGGATACCCGCCATACTACAGCAAACAGTGTGAAACACCAGTTATACCTGATACTGGGACGGCTGAGAACTATGTCGTACTGAGCAGTCATAATGGGCATTACAATGTCAAAATTAATAATGGGAAAGAAGCACAGTACAACGACTTTTTTCCCTACTTTCGTCACAAATCCCGCTATGCTATCATTAACGACTGTTACTTTCGATGGTGTTTCGCTCTGACCATTATGTGGAATGATTTGGACGCGCTTCGCCCGGCGCTTGAAGCGCCTCAGAATGGAGGAAGAATAGAGTTTAAATGTCACGACAAAGAGTTGAGAAGTGTGGGCAAGTTTATGTTTTTGGATGTTTCGAAACAAATGTTGCCTGAGTGGGCACAGGATAGTCGGTGTAGCATGACAGAAGGTGTTAATTATGTTGTAGTTGTGGAGATGAATGATCTAAGGTCCACTTCGTCCTATTGGACACAATGTAGCGCTAACGTCACCTTTCACGACAATACATATCCCGTTGATTTCATATTTCAGTACGACATTACAGGATGTTCCGAGGGCAGGTACGGTCTGTACTGTGACAAGTACTGTGTTTGTAAGAACGGCGCCCGTTGTCATGGCTTTAACGGTGCCTGTGAGTGCCGCCCGGGTTGGAGAGGGAGGGCCTGTGATATTCCCTGGCCTGAAGTTGTCATCATAGCGTCACCTGGCGATTCAGTCGTGAAGTACATCGGTACTAATCTGACATTGACCTGCCTGGCTCCACACATCCAAGTTGCTAGTATGACGTGGATTCATGAAGCGGAAAACTATTACAATGACACAAAAATTATTAAAGAAGCTTTAGGGGCGGTACAGAACAGTTCCATCAACTTCCAGCCAGTCTCAGAATCCGACAACGCTGGTTATACTTGCGTGGTAAAAGCTGTAAATGGTGAAGTAATTAATGCAATTTTTACCCTCAACGCCACCAAATGCCGACCTAACTATCATGGGGAAGGTTGCAGCCAAGTGTGTGACTGTGAGTACGGAGGGACGTGTGACAGGTGGGAGGGGTGTCTGTGTCCTCCTGGTCGTCGTGGAGACAGGTGTCAGCACGAGTGCGCACCTGGCACATTCGGGAGGGACTGCAGACTGAGGTGTTACTGTGAAAACAACGCCTTGTGTGATCCAGTCAATGGCAGCTGTATTTGCGCTGAAGGACAGTCAGGCGAGTTTTGTCAGAATTCCTCAAGTCCTGAGAAGAACCAAGTCGTAGTTGTAGTGTTGTCGTCCGTTATCCCGACTATTGTTCTAATCGCCTGCATCATTACTGGAGTCCTGGTGAAACGGAGTCGCCGACGCCAAAGAGCAGAACAGCCAACAGCGGACTTGGAAATGACGCCATTCATAGAAAACCTTTCATCATGGGAAATAGATAAAGAGGACATCCACCTTGAACACATGATCGGGGAGGGCGAGTTCGGCCATGTCGTACGGGCAAGACTGCGCGTGCCTGAAGGCTACCAAGTTTTGGTTGCTGCCAAAAGTATCCGGCCTGACCGCATGACGGCGTCTGCTGTCCGCGACTTTCGCCGAGAAATGGACATTCTCGCGAGAATCCACGAAGACAAAGAGGGGCACCCGAATGTGGTGAAGTTTTACGGAGTTCTGACTAAATCCGACCCACAGTACATCCTGGTAGAGTATGCAGCTAATGAGGAACTGCGCCGGTATCTGTGGGGTTTGAGAGAACAATACAGGGTCACAGGGCAAAGGAAACTGTTAGAACGTCTCGGTTTCGCTTGTGACGTGGCCTGTGGGTTAGCAGAGCTGGCACGGCTGAAGATCGTGCACCGAGACATCGCAGCTCGTAACGTCGTCATCAGTGACAGGATGGTGGCTAAGATCGCAGATTTCGGACTATCGCGTGACGTCTACGCGTCATCGGCATACAAACGCACGAACCAGGGCGGGGAGGAGGAGCTGTTACCGCTGAAGTGGATGGCCGTGGAGTCGTTACGGGACGGGGTGTACACGTGTGAGAGTGACGTGTGGTCGTACGGCGTGCTGCTGTGGGAGATCGCCAGTTTTGGGGAGGAGCCGCGCTACGCTGGAAGCCCCATGCACCCGGACGTCTGCACACTGTTGGAGCTGCTGAAGAAAGGCGTCCGTCTGCGGCAGCCGGAGAACTGTCCGCTGCCGGTGTACCGCATCATCAGGTCCTGCTGGATAGTAGACCCCTCCAAGCGGCCAACGCCTGAAGTGCTGCTGCAAAAGATTGAGCAGTTGAGACCGCCGAGGCATGCGGCCCACCTCGTTAATCATGGTATGACATGGCAGTGAAGCATCTGCTATTAACAGGCAAAGTCTCATGGGCTGTGCTGAATCTAATGAGAAACAAACGTATAAGGCTTTTTTTACATAAGGCTATTTTGATTTGATATATGCATTCTACAACATTGGTATCATCTTGCAATTTTTTCTTTGCAACTTACGGTATATATTTGCTCTTTTCGCAAATGTTTTGTACGATTTACAGTATGGTTGTTAACTTGAGAACGGCCAAAAATATTTCCGCGAATGGATGTCATTCCATATACCCAGTCAACATGGCCTAAGGGCCTCAATGTGGAGCAAATTGTATTTGATTAAGCAGAATACAAAGTACCTGTGAAACACATACAATCTGAGCGTGATGTAGTAATGCACATTGCCATAGCCTGGATCCCAGCACTGTGAGGCGAAGAACCATTATAATGTCCATAAAATGTCTTTGGTTAGCCGAACAAGGCTGGCATTCCTGCTAATTCAGCCAGAAGTTTTGAGACTATTATCAATTGTCAGTGCCCAACAGTAGTAATGACAGTAGTAACTTAGTACAGCGTAGTATACGTAGTAGCAGTAGTACAGTCACTGTGGTACTGTAGTAGCCCGACAGTAAGGAATGGTGTTGTTGTATATATTAAGTTTAAAGACATAATCTCTGTTAATCATACTTGCATACTGTATTTTTCAAAATTATTGTTAACTGTCATAATTCTATGTTTGGCTATATATATTAGTAACCTTTAATTTGATGCTCTTAATTCAGAACTACTGTATAAAGCAAATAGTGGGTGTTAGTAGAAGTGTGGATAGGTTTATATGTAGAACTATAGAAACACAGTAGGGAAATCTATATGTCAGAAATCTATACTTTTTCACAAGTTTGATATTATCAAACTTGTGAAAAAGTATAGATTTCTATGATATACCTTTAATGCTTAATGTATTTTTTATTATTATTAGGCCACATCAATTTGTTGGTTCTCGGATTTTTTCAGGAAGAATATGAAGCGACAGGAAAAAAAATAAGCAGGTCTAGGCAAACATTGTACTAAATGCTACAATTATAGGAGCCATAAGTCAACACAAAAGGCTGTGTTAATATATAATATTATAATTATATATGTTATTAAACAGCGAATTTTGAACTTTTAATCAAACCACCGCACTGGAAAAACTGCAACAACTAGGAAGAAAAGGACTTTCCTCAACTGTTGGGAGCAAAATATGAGCATTTTTGAGTTGATTCAGAACCAGAATTTTTTTTTGCAAATCAGAAAAAAGACGAATCCGAGAACAAAAATTTAAATTGGTGTGGCCTTACGTGAAGTCTTTTGTCTTAACCTTTGTTCTTTTTTCATATGATATTGTCTAGTCCAGACCTGTCTTCTTGGTCTGTAGTTTATTTTACAGTATACAGTGCTCCTCCCCGGGAACCATCAAATTAGGGATGTCCATTTTACCGAGTGGTGGATTATCACACATCTAGCCAGTCAGAAAGACATTCATGCGGCCACACGCCTCCTGCTGATTGTGCCTATTCATGCGTCCGGTTCGCACGTACTTGTAGAACGACCGTAATGTGTTGATTGAAGTGATTAGGTTTATAGCGCATTGATGCTTTCGACTGCCAGCAGAGGTTGTGTTTGGTGAAAGAAAAAGTCCAGTGCTAAAAAGAAACCCCGATAGAAAAGTCTAAAAACATGCCAAAAATAACCCCAAACAGCGAGATGCTAGACTGTTTGAGAGCATGAACCAACAGATATAAGAACTCTCCCACACTGTTCATGTGTGGCCTACTCAATAACTATGGACTGAAACCCTGACTGCTGTCTTCTTACTGTAATGACTGATTTTTAACGATACTGATATGTTCACGGTTTTCACGGTCACTTCTGTACCGTGAACTCATCAAACCGCTAACACTCCTTCGCCCCAAACAGCAATAAATCATTCACATGTTTTTCATGTAACGATGTTACGTATATTTGAAAACAAATGTGCTACTGTTAAGTATCAAAATTATTATAATGCTATAACTGATATTAGAAATCATATTATGAGACACCGAATCGAGTGTCAAGCCGTGAACATGACTTGAACCGTGAACATATCAGTACATGAACACCTCAATTTTTCTCACACCGTGAAATTTTGAAGTGAATTACAGTAGTACATGTACAAATGCACACTGTTTTGTATCAAATGTCAACAATGATTGTCCTATTGTCTTTAACCTGAGTGTATATTTACTGGTCTTTTAATAGTGTGCAGGTAATACATTCTAAAATAATTTACTTATTTTAGAATGTATAGTATTACCTGTATTTTTTAATATATCGATGCTTTCTAACTTGGTAAACTTTACAATTTACAATACTTGGTTTTTAACTGGGAAGGACCAATAAAACCATCTTGAATCTTGAACCCTGTTTGCCTTGCTTGACTGACCTTGCGTAGCTCCTGTGTGGTGAGTTGACTGACTCCCTCCTGCTGGATCCCCTGGTCCATGGCGTGGACATCCTCCAGGTGCTTCAGCAGACGTCTCCTCAGCAGGGACTTGGGGAGGTACGGGTTCAACAGCAGCACTCGGCTCAGATAACCCTGCCATGGACAGAACAGGGTTCCAAATCCATTTTTGGGAAAAGGTGCACTGGTGCACCAAAACACACAAATTTTCTTGGGTGCACCATATAAAATATATTAAAATAGAATGTCAGCAAAAACTAATTAAATATGTTTCATTTTAAAAAAAAGTATAATTACAGTAACAATGATTTTATTATTTTTCTGACACTTAGATGTTATTGCATATGCTGTATACTACTAAATGGAATACATTTAACAGCTTAACATACATGTAAACCTACAAAAATATTTGGATGCATGCGCAGAAAAAAAATTTTGGTGCACCCAGCTTTCGAGCCCTGCAGAAGATACATGTAACGTTACATGCAGGTAATACATGTATTAGGCCACACCAATTTGATTTATTGGTTATCAGATTCGCCTGCTGAATTTTTTTCTGATTTGCAAAAAAAATCCATGGCAGCATGACTACTAGAACCAGCAGGTAGCCTGTAGGGATGGTTTCCTGGGAATGTCGGACGACTCGGACCATTACCAACTCGGCCCAGACAACTCGGTACACATCGAGAGGCAAAGTCGTCACTCTCCTGTACACTGAATAACTAGACTTTTTTGGATCCCGTTTTATAGCCAAACAATTCAATAGTTCTGTTGTCTAACAAAATATCACAGACAGTCTCGGTTAAAGCCATGTTGATTGCCCAAGCGCAGACAGGTTTTGACTTTAAAAAAACCTCAAAGTCTACAGATCGAAGTTGTCTAACAAAAAGACGCGGTTGATTGCCCAAGCCCCGGTGGTTTGGGACTTCAAAAAATCTCATAGTCAACATGGTTGATTTGGTGGTGGGCCGAGTTGACCAGGGCGGTGGGCCGAGTTGACCAAATTTGTGATGGGCCGAGTTGGTATTGGTCCGAGTCGTCCTGATTCCGTTTCCAGGCTAGCTAGCTTTACATACCACGTACCACATACATACATGACAGTCATCAGTCATCAGATGTTTCGAACACTGACGCCGCTTCGAACATCAAACGCTTCCGCATTGATTTGAAAAAGTCAACCGCCAGGACTGATGGAGACAGCTCACCAGTGGGAGGTGGTGTTTTATACACTGCGGGCCCGCCACCCCGAGGGAATATTGAATCAAGGGCCGAAATTCCTAATGACAGGTGGATTCAACTGACAAACCCACTGGTGAGGCATACCATTATTACCATCGTACAAGGTGTGTATTTTTAAACATACCAGCTGTGTCCTGGACAGTCTGTTGAAGTGAAGACCAGGATGTGAGAATGTGGGGCGGACTCTCAGGATGGCAGCAGGGGAGGGACTCTCCTCTCGTAATGTCTGTCATCACATCAAACCACAAACATAGTCATGCAGCAATTTACCTTTTCTTGCATAAGAATTCTTCCTGCAGGAATTCCTACAACTTCTGTAGGAAGAAATTTTCAATATGAATAGTTTTTATTACTCATTTAAGTTAATAGCATTATTCATAACTTTACGTCATACATTTATTGTATTTAAAATATTAGCATGTGCCAAAATTGAAATTCCAAACTTAAAGTGGGGAGTGTTCCTTGCGGATATGCCAAGTATTGTCACATTCAATTCATCTAGAGTTTTTTTAGTTTGCTACCAAGTACAATGTATCTGAAAACACAAACATTCACACACGCAGACACACACACACACACACACACACTTGTACACACACACACACACACAAACATACACACACGCACACACAAACACATTCATACACACATGCACGCACACACATGCACATGAACACACACACAAAAAGAGAGGACAGAAGTTGACTATAATAATTGAGAATGTGGAAACATCAGTAAGACTTACACTTGCGCACAGTTCTTCTAGTTTGGTTCTATCTCTGGAGTCTCCCACACGTGGCAGTTTTCTCTGCAGAGCCTGTACAATACTGGGATAGTACGCTGCTCTCTCCATGTGGTAACTGTGGAAGAAAGTCACCTTCTGCCCTGCTGACCAAAACTGGGACGACAACAGCTGCTGGGGGTAAAAGTAACTGGAAATAAAAACATTCAGATGTTCAGAAAATAACCAGTAAACATTCAGTTGTTGTTGCTATATATTATAACTGAGTTCCACGACCTCATACCTTCACCAAATGATGTTAACCCTTCCGGTTGACGAATTATACAATTTTAATCATTGATTTTGCAAAAAAGAGCCTCATTTGGAGGGATTACATCTCAGTTGATCATGCATATTCTCCACCCAACGACAGCCTTATCTTAACAAAATAGGCTATATTCTAGCACTTCCTCATAATTATGCAAATGAGGCCATAATTTGAATAAATTATCTTTATTGATGTTCACCTTCACTTAACTTTTAAATGCAGCAAGTATGAAATTCCCAGCAATTACAACTATAAAATTATAGTAATTTTCCATTAATTATGCAAATTAGGTCTTCATTTACATAATCTGTATCCTCAGATGTTTTTCTCGTTCTCAATTACATGTCACAAGTGTTTCATAATGCTATTTTTGAACGAAGCAGATTTATAGAGTTTCCTCATTAATTATGCAAATTAGCCCTTGATTTCCATAATTGTCATTTGATTATGTCAAGCATCACTTCAGCTACCAAGATCGCGAGATATTGAAACCGGAAGTTCTGCGCCGAGCTTTATAGTAAAAATTCAACTACTAACAGTAAAACCAACATGATTATTATAACAATATGTACAAGTAATATTAAACAATGTTGCCGTATTCACTACTATACCTGACATTTGACAATAAATACTTTTAGCTGTTAGCTTCTAATATACTAAAAAAAGTAAACAAAAGAAAGAATGGGGGACCTAATATAGATCCTTCAGTGGAACCCGTGCAGTAACGTTAACATTACATACCATTTTCTCATGATATGCCCTACTTACATGTATAGTGAAGGAAGACTATTGACCTAGTGTAACAACAAAATAACATAACCTAACATAAGTAAAGAAATATTCAATGTACTTCTATCATGCCCGACTCGGTATCTCTCCACGTACTAGGCCATTTGTACAAAAGTTAATGTAATATTTCAAAATTTATTTCATTTGTGCGAATTTTCGACGCTTATTCTCCAACCCCACCCCAACACACACACACACGGAACAAGACGGATTTTCGAAAGAGTGGTCATACATGTACATTATTATGAGTCTCATATTGTCGGCTCTCCCCGGGTATACTGGTTACTTATGCATTCAAAGGGAGCGAAAACCTAAACATAGATCAGAATTGCGTTCAAAACAGACACTGCACAAAAAGTTGAGTTTACCAAAGGTTGTAAACTCAGGTAATGTTTACTTTGTACACAGTACCTGGCTTACAATGGTAATAAATATAGGTCAATTGCAGTAACTCCTTAGCAACCCTTTTTTAAGTCCGGTATTTATATCTACTTCACCTTCATTTATTACCATTGTTAAGTTCAGAAGCGTTTATTTAAGAAAACAAAGTAAACATTACACAACTATATACAGGTATCAGTAAATCTAGGTTTTTGTGCAGTGAGACTACACAATGTCCACACAGGAGCATTACGGTTGTGGCTGTAGTCTGCTTATACATGTACCTACTGTGCCCGACTGTGCTATAAGGATATCGTACTGTTGGAAGTAGTCGGTAAGTTTGCATTCGCCATTCCTCGTCTCTACCATGGGGTCGTGTGGCGTAACAACAGAGCATACAGCTTGGAACCAAGAGGTCCCGGGTTTGAATCCTGACATGCCATGTCATTGTCATTTTCTGGACCTTTATCATGGCCAATGTAGAGGACAAACGCATTAACTTCGGACAAGAGACAATAGGCATACTCATTTTCACCTGAGTTAAGTAAGGAAAGCCGTGTAAAGTGCACTTCCCAAGAGCACATACACGTACAAGATCGTGGTATCGCAGGATTCGAACTCAGGACCTCTTGATTTCATTAGCCCAAACGCTCTGTCGTTATGCCACACGACCATACGGTGGAGAATTCGGTTCGGAGCGACGCAGTAAAATCATGTATTTGACCATTTATTCTGACGTTATAAGCATATTCAGCACTCGATAGTCCACAAGATCATGCTTTGAACTGGTGCTCAACAGACCCTTAGTGTATGTTTGAGTTCAGACGGATTTATAAACTGTACTTTGAGTTGAGAAATCCATAACTTAGAATAGATGCTAGACATAACCTAATTTCCATAATCGATTATTATATATAATAAACATTTAATGAAGCTAAAGTTGATTAGACGCCAATAGCTGAGATTTTGTAACAATCTCAGAAAGAACAAAAATTGATGTCAACGAACGTCGATGAAGGTTATAGACATCCAGGTAATACGATACGCCAAAAAGCAGTTACTCAAGCAACAGTTTACTGGATTTTTTACAATTTTGGAAACGGTCAGACGTTTCAGCTAGCATCCACTAGCTTTCATCAGTGATGTCAACGAAGTCAAACATTACAACAATGATTTTCAATTGCTGTAATATATTACTTAACTTAACATTTGTATGCTTGCAAGTGTGTTCTAACTTTATGTAGTACTTATGAAATTAGAGTAACTTCTGGGTAAAAATCATTTATAGAAGAACTATGTTTTGTTTACTAGGAATGATCAATGTTTCTAATTTATAGGTGACTGTGTAAAAGAATGAAGATTCTACTATCAATCCTAACTCTTCTCGCCTGTGGAGGAATTGGCTATTACATGTACATGATAACAGTCGTGTATGAAGATAGGATACCACTATCCCCAATGCCACAACCCAAGAAGATGGACAACAGGTAATCAGTGTTTTATGATCAGTCTTTTATCAGTAAATATATCACTGACAATTCAGATCGATTTCCAAGTTAACGGAATTTGTCACAATTACGCAATATCGGGCTTGTGATGTCGTTCGTCCGTCAGGTTGACGAGGACTGCTTGTGGACTTGTGAACAGTATACATGACATTAGTCTCAATTTTTTATACTACTGTCAGTTAGTCTAAAAATACAACGATTTTTTTATACTGTGCAAAACGGGATGCCATACTGCAAATTCGAGATGAAGTACAAAGCATTTCAAGTCCAGATTTTGGAGTATACCTGTATATTGGGATAAATTTGAAGACTTTCTCCATACAGAAAGACATATAACATACCAAAGGAGTTACATGTAGAGGACTTCTGGCGCTCTCTATATCTAGCAGACCAACTCGCATGGTATGTTGTCTGTCTTTCTGGCCAATTTCTACTCTTCCAATCTCTTCTGAAGCCTGGTAAGTCTGTACAGCCAACACTACGTAACGGCTTTAAAATATTCAACTCTGTTGAATCCCAGATCCAACCACAGCAAATCTATAGATACAACTCCTGTACAGGATTACAAGGTCATTGTCATGTGGACAAATTTGTGGGGTGTTCGACTGAAAGACGTTGGGCGCGAACTCTGCCCCTCCATGCCAGAGTGCGTCATCACAGGCGATCGCAGCCGGGTCGACGAGGCGGACGCCGTTGTGTTCCATGATGACGACCTTCGGACGGTTTATTCCGAACTCGCCATGCCACCAAGACGATATCCGCACCAATATTGGGTGTGGTATACTAAGGAATGTCCAGCCAGACCAGCCAGAGGTGTCGATCTAGTGTCGTACAGTGGTGTATTTAACTGGACCATGACTTACAGAAATGACTCGGATGTTTTAGCTAGTTATGGCTCCACTAGCCTTGTCTATCAAGGGCTGGAAGAGACGGACATCTCTCCGGAAAAGGACTATACCGTAGGGAAGAAATATTTAGTAGTGTGGTTCGTCAGTAATTGTTACAAATACCTTCCTCGGTTTGCGTACGCGATGGAACTAGTGAAACACATTAGTGTGGACGTGTTCGGCAGATGTGGGAAAGCCGTGTGTCCAGGGAGAAAAAATAATGATTGCTCGAACAAAGTCATCAAACAGTACAAATTCTACCTGTCCTTCGAAAGCTACAAATGTAAGGAGTACATCACAGAGAAATTCTGGAGGAATGCTATTGGCAATGAAGTTGTTCCAGTAGTGTATGGACCAGGGAGGACGGATTATGAGAACTTCGCTCCTCCTGGTTCCTTTATCCATGTAGACGACTTTGATACGCCTAAGGACTTAGCAGATTACTTAAAGATACTTGATAGAGACAAAGAGAAGTACAATCAGTACTTCAGGTGGAGGATCCAGCCTCCGAAGAGTGCATTTCCCGAGGATTATGGTGGTTGGTGTAATTTATGTCGAAAGCTTCAGCAGGTACGTCCAACAGAGAGGAAAGTGTACACAGATTTAGATAGATGGTGGGAAGGGGAAAACCATGAGTTCTGTGAACCTCTTGTTCTCTTGGACCGTCGGGACCCTCTCAATAGCATACGTTTTAACGGTGCACACCCCAGTCCTTCCGCGACCGGCGTCCATGGTAGTTCCTACTTATTTTGGAGTAGGTGTTTTTTAGTGGCCGTTCTGTGCCTAGTTACTTAGTGAAAAATCCTAGTGGTGGATGTAGGTCGATGTCTGTATCAAGTTCGACCCATATAGGCTGTGTTTGGTATTTTTTTGTCGGCGAATCTTCGCTTCCGGGTATCGCTCCGAGGCCGCAAACAGTGAAGCGTCCGGAGCGGCTAGGCCGATTACGTCATAGCTAGGGGCGCCTGACATGCCCCAGAAAATCCATTATTGCAATAATCTTTAGTTAGTACTAGAATTTTTTTCTAAATCTGGTACGTTATACAGTACGGTACATGTTTCCTTCCTATATAAATGTGATATGCGGAAAATTTTTTTCTTGCTGTACGGCGTCAATGAAAAACGCCTCTTAACTATTAGGTTTCAATGGGGGCAAGAAACTGGGGTGTGCCCCCTTAATAGGTGAAGTCCATTTTGTGCCATTGGGTCATCACCACCCCTTTATGAATGCATACGTATAATACAATAGGTGGAATTCTTTTCATCCTGTATCCTAGTGAACAAAAAACACCATTGCCAAAAAACACCAAAGGGTCTCTGCAGTACCAGGGCCCGGTTCTGTGGAACCAACTTTCCAGGGAGCAAAGACAGCTCTCAACTTTGACATCTTTCAAAGACTCTCTGTGAGTGGGGCTTGTGTTACAAATGTTTTTACGATTGTTATGTATGTTGAGTTGAAATTGTAATGTATATTCTTGTTGTGTGTTTTCCCATTGTATATTGTGCATTTTATATAATTATGTAACCCCAGAGATACCTGAAAACAGGTCAGTAGACCTGAGCGTACTACTCTGGTAAAATAAAATAAAATAAATAAATTGCTGTGTATGTAGCAACATCCGTGAATAGTTTCATCAGGTCGGTAAGTCACTGAAATAATTATAATGTCATTATGTCAAGCATCACTCAAGCTACCTACATGTACATACCAAAAATCACGATGATCCATCAATCGGTTCTTGAGTTATCCTCCTTTAAACATTTTTCAACAAATGCCCCTGCAGTTCCAGAGCAAGCAGGTGGGGGGGTTCAAACTCAATTCACTTCATCTCCAACACAAGAGCTACATCATACATGTAGTACATGACATATACCATGTAAATTTTGTGACCCTAGCATCATAGCATGCCTGGATCATAAGGTATCAAAACCGAAAGTTCTGCTGCAGTACCATGACAAGCCGCCAGGGGACCCAAAATCTAATCAGTTCCAGGTCTCTTCAAGTCCTACCCACCTACCAAATTATCAAAATAATCCATCCAGGCGTTCTTGAGTTATCGTGTTCACACACACACACACACACAGACACACACACACACGAACGCCCCTGAAAACATAACCTTCTTGGCAAAGGTATTTAGTCAGTCAAAACTAAAAAGCAGACTTAGCAAAAAACATCTTATAAAATGTATGCCACAAATTGAACCTTCCACCTGGTGAACCACTGCGTTAGCCACACAGTGATTTCAGGGGTGCCAGAGTCAGACAATTTTACAGAATACAGTGCAGTTTTACGGAATACAGTGCAATCGTATTAGTATACAGTGCAATTTTACAGAATACAGTAATTTTACATAATTAATTAATTAATAATTGCACATAATTTTAGAGTAAAATTGCACTGTATACTCTGGCACCCCTGGATTTATAGCATTACCATTGCAGACTCCAGGAAGAATAGTACTTAGGACATTTATGTGACAGTGACACTAATGGAGATCCTAACAAACAAACAAACAAACAAACAAACAAACAAACACTTACATGAGTGGTAGGACCAGCAGCCATACAAACGGCAGTGAGGCCACCAGGAACACAGGTAATGTCTTCAGCACATCCAGTTTGAACTAGGGAAGAAAAAGTACAAATAAAGCAACCACAACTTCCTCTAGGTACATAATCTATCATTAGAAACTTTTGATTCAACTTCAATATTAAGACCATATTATGAAACACAATATAGTTGTCATAGCAACCCTTTAAATAAACTGAGCTACATGTAATTACTGTTTGTAAATTTATCTAATTTCTAGCAGTATTAAACTTAAATGGGGTACTCTCATCATTGACTGGCATCCACTAGATTTCTAGTGACAACTGATTGGCATTGACTAATGCTAGTTTTCATTGAATTTGGATGACCACCATATATATATATATATATATTTGCTAAGTAGATTCTAGAGAAAGTAGTGGTCAGTCCGAAATTATGTTAGTTGGCAAACTTCTTAGACCAGACCGAAATCAGTGTGCAAGATGATATCATCCATAAATGTGATGATTGGCTGAAAACCACTTTTACACAGCTGGCTTTGTCAAATTGTTCAGGTACAGGTGCAGGTACGGATGTAGGTTACTGGTACACCTGGTACAGGTTTAGGTACAGGTGTAGACACAGGTGCAGGTATACAGGTGGAGGTGCAGGTACAGGAGTAGGCACAGGTGTAGACACAGGTGCAGGTACAGGTGTACATGTAGGTGCAGGTACAGGTGCAGGCACATGTGTAGGCACAGGTGTAGGCACAGGTGTAGGTACATATATGTAGGAACAGGTGCAGTTACATGTGTAGGTACAGGTGTACAATGTAGGTACAGATGCAGGCACGTGTAGGTACAGGTGTAGGTACTGGTGCAAGCACAGCTGTAGGTACAGGTGTAGGCACAGGTGTAGGTACATGAACATATGTAGGTACAATGTACATGTGTAGACACAAGCGTAGGCACCTGTAGGTACAGGTGTAGGCACAGGTGTAGGTACATGAACATATGTAGGTACAATGTACATGTGTAGACACAAGTGTAGGCACAGGTGTAGGCACAGGTGTAGGTACAGGTCTGTAGCCTGATTAAAACACTTAACAGCTGGCTACCCCAACATCCATGAAGCCAGACAGCAAAGTCTGGTTTTACATGTGACTACAGAGTCTGTGTAAAACCAAAGTGTAAGCTGCACCATCACTGCAGAAATTCCACGAGTACTACACCTGTCGACAGCTGTCAATCTCCCTCCAGGTGAGCCTGCTGTAGTCCCTGCCCAGGGTGTGTTTGTGTCTCATGATGCCGACTGCAGTTTTCCCCTCTCTCCACGACTGAACAGCACCTGGACAGGCAGACACATGCCACACTTCTTACAAAAACAGCCGGTATGATTATACATGTCTGAAATACAAACAAAATACCCATAATAAGAGCGTCCTTTCCTTTTTTGTGGAATACAGAAAATTCTATCCCGTCTCAAAATTGTCAGTAAATGACAAATGGAAGCCACTTGAACTGGAAGGCACAATTTTACACAAAGATATCAGGCCCTTAGCAAAGCTTAAGCATAACACCAGTCTTACACATACAAATGTACAGTCAACCTATCTTTTTCTGTAATTTACTAGAAAAAGTTTGTCCTTGCACTGCAGTCAGATACTGTTAGCATGAGAGGACCTCTTGTAAGTGTTATGAAAACCATAAATATCATTCTTGCTTGCAATAGAAGGCAAAACATCTCTGGAAAACTATTGGCTGTAGAGCCAAGCACAAAATGTGCTGAATTTTGTCATTCTCACTTGAGGGGAACCATGATGATTTTTCAAGTAGCATGCATACATAATGCAAAAAAATTACACTTAAAATGTAGCTTCAGCTTGAGTTTATACTATAGCTAAGTACACCGGTCACCCCTCTTCTTCTCGATACATGTAAGTATGTTGGGTTCTCTTACGTGTAGAGGTATGCCACTTCACACCACTGGGCTGCCGGCTTTACCTTACCAAGCATCCAAAATGACTGCAATCCCTCACAACATGTCTAAGCTGAAGCAGCCTCATTATACACAATGGTGCACAATGTGTAATTGATATATGAGAGCCTAAGCATGTGTAAAACAATAACTGCTTAAAATGTTGTGTTTCCTGTTTCAGTCCTGAAACAATATTAGGGTTGGTACAAAATGTAGGTAGGGATTATCTTTTCTTTTTTTGGCTTTGGCGATCTCTCCAACTTTTACAAAAGAGTTAAACATTTTAGTAAAACTTGCATGAGGACACTTATCTTTTCAATGTCAATGTTGGAAAACCGATGTACAATGATCATCACTCAGGTGTCAGATTATGGGAGTTAGAAAAGGTTTATCAGCTCGCAAACTTTATGTCCCTTGCAGGGCCCCCCCCCCCCAAAAAAAGTCTAGGGTTGGCAGTTTTTTCTAGGGTCGGTCCGTAAACTGGAAACACATCATTTTTTTCCCAAGGCCTTAGGATTTTCTCTCTCACCACCATGGCCCAGGTTCTATTCCCATCGTGGAAACCACTTGTAACAAACTGGGGCAAGCAGTACAGAAACGCACAGAAACACAAAGGCAGCTCCTGTGAATCAATCCGGGTCGGTAGCTTGCGAGCCTAATACCATAACAAGCCCGTAGTCAGGATTTTGAAAGGGGGGTTCTTCCCTCTGCTTGGGGGAGCAGCGAGTGCCGTAGGCGTGAGGCAAGCGCCGAAGGTGCAAGGTTCCTAGGGGGGGGTCCGGGGGCATGCTTCCCCGGGAAATTTTGAAAAATGAACCTTTTCTGCATTTTTTTAGAGGATTTCAAAGAAAAAATCAGAGATAACTTCATTCAATGACAAGTGAGCCTTTTTCCTACGATTCCAGCCTCGCTGGTGACACAAATCAGTCCATCTTTTAAAGAAAAATGTTGGACCTTTAGAATTAGATAAAAAGTGGACCAAAATGTGGACCTTTAAGCCTTGTGGGGGTGTTCGTCCAAAATGCATAACCACTAGGCTAAAAGGTCCAGGACCCATTGGACAGGTTCACTTTAATCAATACTGGCACTTAAAATCCACCGTAACACTTACAAATTATTATTACAGACTGATGCGAAGATGGAAAAAGGGGAAATTCTTGCACTTCTGACAAATCTTTATCCCAATAATGACACACAGTGACTTACCATTGATAAATTGCACATAAACCTTGCCAGCGGTGGGGTGTGTTCTCTGTAACAACTGTCCTATCCTCTCATTCAGTCTCACATACAGGGATAACATAGACGACGTGCCAGGCTCCTCTTTGTCTTTCTGCTTGTTAGTAGAGGTAGATCTCCAGCTAAATAGAAAAACAAAAAACAACAAATGTCAGTGACTATTATGACTTACCTTTCTTGATTCATGATTAAGTGGTGTGCATTGCCCAAAGAATTTGCCTATGATAATTTTGATATAAAAGATACAGTGAGTCACCTTAAATTTGGGGCAACCAATTTTTCATCTAGATCTTATACAATCCAAAAATTACTACAAACATTATCTGAAACATTGCTGGTACAGTATTCCTGTCCAGAGCAGCTTTCTTCTTTTTTTTTTAAGTAGGGTAATCCATATTCATAGATGTAGATGTAGATTCCATCCACGTGTGCCTGGGGGTCTGGCCTGGTGACTGCCCGAGTTTTCCGCATACCCTTTGACATAACGGTTTCAATGACTTCTCACACGAACGTGTGCAGAACATTGGAGCCAAACCCGCCACCTGAGATGGACCGCCGGGCTTCTGTGTCCTTCCAGAACGTGCAGGTTGAGGTTTCTGCAGGGTGAGTTGGCGAGGAGAGCCCGGCATGTCCTCACATGGGCCCGGCCCAGACCGGCACAACAACGCAGCGCCATCTTGGTGAACTTTCACCCTCCCAAGGGCGCGTTCTCATTGGCTGATCAGGGCAAGGTAGCCTCTACCAGGCTTCGGAAGGGTATGTTATCTGTCTATTTGACCAATTCTACCCTGAAACCTGGTAGAGGCTAGTTCATGTGTCTCTGAATCAGCTGCTCTGAATGTAACGCACATTACACTAATTTGGACGGGATGACGTCTTCAATCTAAGAATAGACAATATAATTTCATAGCTTCACCGACGTTGTTCCTAATAGAAAAACATTATAGCAAAATAAATCAAACGACTTTCTACTTTCACATAATGATCATAATATCTGTACAACTGAAAATTTAATGCAAGCTACATTATGTATTATATTCACATAATCGCAAGACTCCGTACTTGGTAGAAAACTTATAATACAATTACACAATTTTCAGCAATGCTACGTGACTTTCTGGTACCACGTTATAGTGCACGTGCACACCTGATTCAAATAAATTTTAAATTATGTTTAACCCTCAACAGTACACCTTCCCGGACTGATTAATCTGTACACCTGGGGTCCGCGCGGACCCCAGAGCAGTTTTTTGCTAATTTTTAGAAATTATCAACATGCTACCAGCTCAATTGTTTTGCAAACTGATGTGGGAACCTCTGTGTCCACATTACAAACAAATATCATACATTTTGAACTTTTTCTTTTTTTTTGGTGAAGAAAAGAAGACAAGAAGAAATACCCAATTTTTAAACCCATTTCAGACTGAAGGGGCTTTTGAGGCCCAACTTTGATCTCAGATAGCGGCTAAACGGCTTGCGCTAGAAGTACCAAATTTGGAGACCTTTCCTAAAATGTCTCTGGAAAAAAGGTCATATTAGTTTGATACTAGTAAGTTGATGTTTTTTGTGTTGTCATGGCAACGGGTTTCATTTTTCAAAATAGAAGTAATTTTGGTTTAAACATAAAAATTTTCTGAGTTTTATATAAAATTACACTTCTTTTCCAACATTAATAACATCTTACATAATCAAATATAAGTTAAATCATTTAATATGCATGGAATATGCTAATTTGATGACGTCATTGGTCAAAATCCAATATGGCGGACTATATTATTAGCTCTGACGTCATATGACGTCATAATTACACCAAAGTTATTAAAATTTAATTCTATTACTACACCATTCTCTGAAAACTTGGTAGACATAAGATTAGTGCATAAAAACATATAAAAACGGAAATAAGGTAATGTATAAGAACGCCAATGTATCCATTATGATCGAAAGCCGGCTGGGGTCCGCGCGGACCCCAAAAGAAAATCAGATATAATTTTTTTTATAAATGGTAGAAACGGAGTTTTCTGCACTGTATTGAGAGACAACTTTGTGGGTGACAATTACCTAAAATTTCAGAAAAAAATCTTTAGAAACAAAAAAGATACTACAGAATATATAGTGCTGGGGTCCGCGCGGACCCCAGGTGTACTGTTTAGGGTTAAAACAAACTTAAACGCACGTTATACTATTTTTATATCAAGACGTCGTAGAGTCAACAATGTATGATATGAGATCGTACCTTTCAGATTCTTTGTGACAAAAATTCCTTGCATTAAAATGACAAAATAACTTTCAACATTGATACGACTTTCTACTTACACAATAAATAGATAATAGACTTTATTGCACAACAATGGCATAAGGCACAGAGCCTGACAACTACTGGTACATGATTACAGTTCCATGAGGCTAAGGCCACAGCAAGTAATTTTTTGGGATGACATCAACGCGCGCATTGATTTTCGCCTGATTTGGGGGGGGGGTGCCCTCTGACGGTGGTCAGCATGCCGAAAATGAGCAAACATGTTGTAAATGCCTTAGCAGTTTTGAGTCTATCAGGGATCCAGCAAACTTGCAATTGAGGCACAATGGTTCGCGTTTGATTGCAAATGTTGACACTGACACGTTTCATCGCATCCAATCTAGTATATAGTAGCTGGCCATGATGGTACGGCGAGCCGTTTTGCTAGAATTTCTAGTTAGTCTTTACAGTTTAATTACACATCTAGGGGATAGGTAATAATGTTGAATACAAGAATAAAATATCTGTTGACTGGTTGTGTATCATGTTTGTTTCTTCAATTCTTGTTTAACAAGGCTCATGGTCTCAAAATTTGAAAATGGATTAATCTTAAGCTTGCTTTTTTTTTGCCCGCCTTCCTCGTTTTTTTTTCGCCCTATTGCATTGGGTATGGAGCCTGCGGAGGATGTCATCCATAAAATTTACTTGCTGTGGCTTAATGTACCTAATATCTAAGTGTAGAATTATCACATAATAGTGTATATACTGAGATCTCGGTGACGTCTTCATAAATACACGGCATGACTTCATAGATGCCCCATGTGTCTGTCCCAACGAACAATTTTCAATTTAATTGGAGTTACACAAGACTTTCTTCTATCGGACAATATCTGATTCTAGCAACATTTAACACACAACCTCTGCACGCCATGAAGGCATGGCTCAACGCCAGCGGTACACAGTGAAACGCTCTAAGTTTACCATGTTATTCTTATGTTTTTAGAGAATGCGTGTATAAAACGTAGTTTTCAACAATTGGATCTGATATCAAATAATGTTCAATATTCATATGTTCATATTCATACGAAAAAAATAAATGTAACGCATGTCATCCGTTAGAGTCATTAATAGTCAAGAATAGACTGAAGTCAGAGCTTTCTAGTCTCCACCAGACTCCTTCAAGTTGCAGGCTGAATAAATGGCCTAGAATGGGCAAAAATGGAGCTTCTATGGGTGGACATCTCCTCTGGCCAATGATATCAACTTTTTAGGCCACTTTCCACTATTCATTTAGCCTGCAAAAGAAGACTAGTGGAGACTAAGAGCATATGACCCAATGTTTGTCCTCTGAGAACAAACGCCTTGTAGTAGCAAAGCGATATGGGATTCGATAGACGTGGGGTCGTGCTGGGTATAACCTTAGCCTGACTGGGGTATGGCCCAGAAGCCAGAGGTCCTCGGTTCGAATCCTGTAATGTCACCGATGTTGTACCGTCTTAACTGTGCGGACTTTCCCCACTCCACCCAGGTGTAAAACGTGGGGGTACCTCAGACTTGGTTTGTGGAGGCAAAAGGCGGGGGAAGGACTCTGCCTTCCAATACCGTACCCTTGGCAAAGTGTTCACTGCCCTTACGACCTCAATAAAGGCTATGAGATAGACCTTTTGTAATAGCACGAAAATAAGACAATATACTATAATCACGTAATATTTAATTCCATAGCGTCGAAGTGTAATAGTCAGTGTACACTGTACCAGCATGACGTCATAACCAATGACAGCGTCGTCAATAGACAGTGAGGTCACCTACGGTAGTGAGGTCATACCTTTTCGAAATACTAGTAGCCTCCAACAGGCCTTCGGGGGAACGGTTTAAACTGGGTGCCATCCTCCTCTCCCTAGCGATATTCCGAGTGTAGTAGTCGGCAGAAACTACGGAGGACGGCATTCAGGCTAGCGGAAGGGAGAATCCGTCAGGCCAGGAGAGAGAGTCAGTCCGCGGGAAGGTTATCCTTAGCCCGTAGCCTGGGTGCCATCCGACCTCTAAAAAATCTTTTATTCGGAATTGCCGTTACAAATCGAATGGCACCCAGGCTAGTATATCCTGACTGAAAATGAACTCTAGATCTATAGTTAACAAACTCCCCTGGCCAATTATTCTCCCCATTGGCTTTTAAAATCTTATTGTTTTTTGAACCCCCGGTGTTACGTAGTCTAATGTGGAATAAACGCCACGTGCACATCTGGGATGAATTTCACGGCGAGTTAAAAGTGGAATCTATCGCTACTGGCTTTTAACAAGGGAAATAGCCTCGTATCCAGACCTCCGTAGGCTCCCCGGTATGTCCCCGGTGCTGGGAGTACTGTGCACCCGCCCAGGACCAATAGCGCACGCCGGGGGTATTTACCGGGTCGGTTTCAATTACAGTTCACAGGACGGCAATAATCAGAAAAGCCAGCTGGAAAGATCTACCATATCTGAGGAAATACCTATGCTTTAGGGCCGGTGAAACACCCCTAAGCTTTAAGCTGCTAGCTTGTGAAGAATGGTAACCAGGCTACAAGGGTTTTTTAAAAATGCACCAAATTCTCTTAGTCTCCTTCGCAGACTTGTCGGGTGGCAGCGAACCCTCTCCACCGGCAAACTCCCTCGGCGCACCGCGGCAAAACCGTCCCTCTGCGGCATAACTCACGTGGCTCCCCGGAAAAAAATTAATTAAGACCGCCGCCCAGCGACCGCCGCCGACCGTCAGCGAAGGGGCTAATCCAATGCAATTTCAGGGCGGCAAAGCTCGATTTCTGGTCATCCTATCCCATAGCATACTGATATATGTGAGGAAAAAAATGTGATGTTACTGACGTAAAACTGTAACAGTTGCATGTTTTGTATCGTAGGCTGGTTCTAGCTATTTATGGGAGGTACGTAGTTTGTTTTTGGTCTATTTCAAACGCTTTAAGTTTAAAATGATTAAGGAAATGTAGGAAAAGTAAGACGAAGTAAGAAATAGCAATAAAATGTCAATATCAGACAGAATTCCTCATTCGGAATATTTGTTTGTTTTGCCGCCCTGAAAATGCATTGCATATGGCATTTGACGATTTTTATGATACGGATACCTGGCATTGATATCATTATTTTCGGTTGCCCTCTCCTCATTCAAGTACGTGTATGATCTCACTACTTATTGACAAGAGTAGGGGATCTTCCCGGTGTGAGTGGTTCAAACCATTATGCTTACAGTCCGATGACCGCACCTGGGGTCGTATTGAGGTCACCTGAGTTAACGCCCAATGGCAGCCGCTCCAGACCTTTGCGATTCAACACCAGCAATTGTAAGCTCTCATTATTCAGTCCTTGCCCACAAGGAGAGAGTTATTTAAAAAAATCAGGCACACACTGTAGAAAACTTCACACGTCAACGTCCCAAAATGGTAGTAAATAAAATGCG